CCGCCTACAACGCCAAACTCAGGACTAGGGTTAGGGTTAGTGCCATGTTATTGTGGGCATCTCATGTTGAAGGCTCGGCAGGCTACTCAGCCACTATTAAGTTGGCAGGTGTCAATTCTAATCGTCTTGGCTACTGCTAGCTAGAATTGTGAATTGACTGGGCGCATAAGACACGAATCGCGGCGAAGAAGCTTGGCAGTTTGTACATTTTACCACAAGCTTAATGCAATGTGGATGCTGACTCGGTAAGCGATGCACTTTAAAGTGTATGACAAAATCTAGACCATAGCGATTACTTTTAGCATAAAGAATAATATGTTAGAAGTCTGATACATATATAAGTATCAAGTTCTGCCAGCAGCAAGAACAAGACTTTGCATAAGAAAGGTAAAACAAATATCTACATACAAAACTGACTATTCTCTACTCTCACCTACACCTCAACTAAAAATGTATTTCTCAACCAAATGTCTGAGTATTCTGCTCGGCCTCGTCGCTCTATCCTCTGCAGAAATTAAAACCCCCTCGAAGAAGATGCTCCGCGATTTCGATACTTTTGCTCGTTATGCGGCCTTTGGATACTGCAAAGAATTAGTAGACGGCCTGGACGTTAATGGCAAAACTAAAGTTTGCACTAACAATAGAGAAATTCCCAACGGCTGCGGCGAACTTGAAGACGCAGTTGTAGTCACGGAATTCCCTAACGATGAAGGCGTGTCTGGCTACATTGCTGTGAACAGTAAGACGCAACAAATTATTGTGTCCTTTCGCGGGTCAGGTAGTTGGAAGGACGTACAAACCAACTTAAGAACTTGTAAAACCAGGTCTGGTAGGGGTTTGTGGGAAGCTGTGGCGGGCTTCGCGGAGCAAGCTAAGAACGAACTTGGAAAAATTACCAGAAATACCATTATTAGTATTGTTGAATCGGCCTGTTCATTGGTTGAGGAGTGAGCGAAAACATCCACCAATTATTATAATGTGTATACATGATAACGTTACTAACAATATATTTGCAGATCTAAACCCGACCCAAATGATCGTCTCCTCCCGTTCTGCCAAGACTGTGGCGTTCATCAGGGCTTCTTTGAAGGCTTTAAGGGCATAAAGGATAAAATGTTAGCCGCTGTTGAGGAACAAAAAAAACTGCACCCTATCTTTGAGGTTAAGGTTACTGGTTATTCTCTTGGAGCGGCAGTGGCTACCTTGGCAGCAGCCTATATTCGCAAGTCGACATTAAATGTAGATCTATATACATTTGGTTCTCCCCGCGTGGGCGACGAGAAGTTTGCGACATTTGTCTCCTCTCAAGGACTTGGGGAAAATTTCCGTATTACGAATGAGAACGACCCCATAGCCAATGTCCCATGGGCTGATGCAGGCTTTGCACACGTTGAACCAGAGTATTGGTTCCCAGAAGGCATTGCCGCCGAGAAAATGGAAGTTTGCAAAGGTGTGAATAGTCTCCAGTGCAGCGGGCAGTTCGACTTGAAATTGTCCGACATCGCGCTTGGTAGAGACAGAATGAAACCGCACCTGTGGCAAAGCTATGCAGTTGGGTTTCTTTTCACGGGAGGGATGTCCTGTCCGAGCCGTTCCGGTAGGGAGCTCGATCTTGACGAGAAAGCTCCGTTTACACAGGAGGAAATTACTGAAATGAAGAGGCTTGCGGATCAAAGCAATTAAAACGAGAGGGTTCTCCTTGCTGAGAAAAATACTTATACTGCTAGGGGCTTGAATATAGCTAGCTGTCAGAAATACGGTGGCACAATATCATACATGGGCACTTTCGTTCGTTTGTTCTTTCTGTCAAAGTGATACAGATTATAGAGAGTCAATTAGCCTTGATCACTACTCAAGTCAAGAGGACGAAGGTCCCAGTTATATACACAACAGTGTTCAAATGGGTCAGGACGCTTCCTCGACTGGGGCAGAATATCATTTGACATATTCAATGCTCAAGGGCGCGTTGTCAGACCTTCGTTTGGTGACCTTATTAGCATCGGCATCAGCCGCGTGCACATCAACGGCCCAGCCCGTTACACAATGAGTCTCACAACGTGACAGAAATTCTGTCATGTCTACTTCCGCCACAGAGCTTCTCGTAGCTCCTAAGCCTCTCTCGTTCTATGCTACTGCGTTCTAACCGAGAGTTGCGAGTCCATATATGGATGCCGTTGCCCATTTTGGACACCTCTCTCTCCAAATTCTCTATAGGAGCCTCGACGTCACTTGCTGGAGGAATCCACCCGCCTTCCTTATTGTAGCGCCTTGCGACGGTGTAGTTGACAGCCTGGACATCTGTGTCATGACCGGCAATACGCTTAGCACCGAGTCGTTCCCCGTCACCACGGTGGGCCATTGTTACCTGGCTTCGCGACGACGTACTGTCAGCTCCTCGACCGGAGGGAGGTATGCCATCAGGACTGCTCAGATAAGGCGCAGCGATATGCTGTTGAAACAAATGCGTACCCTTGTGATGCTGCAACGACTCATTGGCGCAAGAAGGGTGGTGCTCTGCAACAAATAGCATCGTAGCTGCTGCAATATGCTCCAACAACTTCTGACGGATACGCGTGCGTCGATTTTCTGCCTGCTCGAGCCGTGTGAACCAGTCATCTATAGATGCGTCTAGCTTCGCCAAAGCCTCTTCCCGCCTTAACATTGTCTCATGGCTAGATCGAACTATGTGACGAGGCTGAGAATAGTCGCATTTGTGGGATTGTTGGAGACCACATCTCCCGCTTCGTAGAGATTTATACGTGTGTCGCAAATATTCGGCCCGTTCATCGAGATAGCGAAGTTCCTGTAGAAAATTAGTGCCAGTAATACACAATATTGGGCCATAACAGCATGCCTTGGATAGGTCTTCCACATCTCTCGCTCGCAGGACTTCGAAACACTTGGCCTCTCCTATTGCCTGGCTGCGAACAACCCTTAACTCAGACTTGCCTATCCTGATATGCTATCCTGATATCATCTCTGCTATCCTGCTATATCGGATATGATATATATCGGATATCGGATAAAGCCATCGCTCTTATCCTGATATCAGGGATGATATCAGGATAAGGGACCGATTCTCATTGGCCACCCGCGATGGTCTCACTTAGCATCTTTAGAGTGATTGCCCCGCCGACGCGGTTCACTTATAGAGCCATCAAATGTCATCCAGCGTACTATCGCTGCCTCGAGTAATACCGAGCTCCTTGCTGTAAATATTTAAGCTCGTAGTTACAGTATTAGACACTTTAGTACGTTATGCTAAGCATACCAAACCATCCCACCGTATGGCCTTCCCATCTCGGGAAGCTGCGGATTGCGCGCCACTGCCTCAATCGCGCATCGAGCCTGAAGGTGAAGCAGCATCTTCATCCTCAGATCCCTTAACTTTTGACCACATATTCCGCGCGACATATCCGAATAGAGGCAAGTTGGGACCTTCGAGAAAGCGCAAAGCAAGGGGGGCTGTGGTGTACGAATGCCTTCTCTGTTCATGGTCAAATCCGAAACGAGATAACGCTGTATACCACGCGAAACGAAAGCACAACGATGCCATGGACTCATTCAGAAATACATTAATCGACAGGTCATCGGACGTTGGTCCTCCATCAAAGCAGGCACGACTCGATGATTTCTACAGCTCATCTCCACCATCATCAGCCCTCCGCAGAGTGTTCAATCCCCAGCGCTACACTGAGAGCATGGTGGCGCTTCTCACACGTCGTCGGCTACCATTCTCGGCAGTAACGTGGGATGCGATGCAGGACATTATGCTGGCCTGCAACCCGGCAATCGAGGATCTCATCATGGCCTCGAGACACGAGGCAATGCGTCACATCGCCGCAAATTTTAGCCTGTATAAGTCGCAGCTGACAGCCAAGCTCCAGAGCTCCGCTTCGAAGGTCTCATCGGATCTCTGGACATCTCCACATCGACACGGTGTTCTGGCGATCTGTGCAAGGTGGGTTGACGAGGATTACCAGCCCAGAAGAGCCCTTCTCGGTCTGCAAGAGATCAGGCACAGCCATTCTGGTGAACACCAATCTCGACTCCTCTTCTCAATCCTTGAACTGTATGGGGTCACGAAACAGCTCGGCTGTCACACAGGCGATAATGCCACGTCGAACGACACCTGTTTGCAACATTTGTCAATCCGGATGAAGCGGGATCTTAAGGTGCGACTCGTGCCGCATGCTCTTTATTATTCGTCTAACCTGCGCTAGATCAACTGGGACCCGAAACGTCACCGCATCCGCTGTATCCTTCATATCATCAACCTGTCTCTTCAAGCCTGTCTTCTGGCGTCTTCACGTGAGGCACTTCAAGCTGCTCTTGGGGCTGCCAGCGACGCCACTGGCAATGAGCTCTACGAACGCTTCTGTCTAGTGCTCCAGGATGCGTCACTTCCGTCCGACAGTGACTCATCCGTCCCAACGGGAAGTACCTTTTCAAGAATAGGGCATAGAGCAAATAGCAATCATGGCACTACCAGAAGAAAGGGTTGGCCCATGATCCCTGCGCTGCGAAAGTTGCATCAAATCGGTTTGTGGATAAGAAACTCATCCGTCCACAGTGACGCGTGGGATGACAGCATCAAGTTACGGCTTGGTATTGATAATGATACGCGTTGGAACTCATGGTATCGAATGATAGACAATTTGATAAGGAAGAAGCAGCAAGTCAAGCAGTTTCTTCTTGACCATGACAAGGAGTTGGGTGATAACATTCTCACCTCTTCGGATTGGGACTACCTTGAGAAAATGCATGCATTTCTCCAACCTTTCACCTCCACGACGTTGTGGGCCCAAAGTGCGTCAACCTCGCTCTCGCAAAGTCTCATGATCATGGATATACTGCTTCGCCATTATGAACAGCAGAAGGTATAGCCCATGGTAGAGACTCATACAGAATCAATACAACGGCTGATCATTTCTATTACTAGGAGATCTATGAAGCAGAGGACACATATGATCCGCTGATGCTACACTCAATCGACATGGGCTGGTTTGTGCTTGACAAGTACTACACCAGGTCAGAAGAGTCACCTATCTACGCAACTGCCCTCCTCCTCGACCCGTCAAAGAGGGCGCGATACCTTGAGGTGCACTGGAAAGAAGAATGGGCGGCGACTGCCATTGGCCATGCGCGAAGAATCTGGGAGGAGGAATACAAGACCGCCCCCGACCAGGAAAGCGCTGTGTCTACCCAACCGCCAGCCGAAGCGGTTGGCTTGCGTCACAAATAGCCGAACGAGCTCGATCGGCTTCTGGAAGAGATGGTGGTGGCCGAAGACCTAACGAGGGATGTGGATGACTTCGAAAAATTTATTCGCGCCAAGCCGATAAAAATTGAGGGTTGCCCTCTTCTCTGGTGGTGTCAAGGAGAACAACGGAAGACATATCCGCGCCTTAGTCGGATGGCCATCGATATTCTGTCCGTTCACCCTGGTTCTGCGGATGCCGAGTCAGCATTAAGTGGAGGGAGACGTACCCTATCCTGGGATCGAGAAAGGATGTCTTGTGCCAATCTGGAGAAGGTCGAGTGCATTGGTAATTGGTTGCGTGAAGGACTCATTATACCTTCTTCACGTGGTGGACGAGGACTCGTCGTGGACGGGGAGGTGAACAGTAGCATACCGGCAGACTCGGATAATGATTTGGATTAACCAGTTGACTAGTTAAATATCAGAGAAAAATTAGTTAGATTGCACTACAAAATGCTTCTTTGGCCCTGTGTTTAGTGGTATATCATGTCTGCTAAACCTGCTATCCTGATATCATCCCTGCTAATCCTGCTTATCCGATATCGTATCAGGATAGTGTGTTATCCTGATATCAGGTTAATTTATCATATCGGATATGATATCAGGATAGGCAAGTCTGCTTTGAGGCTTTGTCTAATGCGCAACAAGATATATTTGGACAGCCCAGCGGACCTTATACCCCCTTGCCACTTGTAGGTACAGTAATTTTTTGTCTTTTAGTATC